CCCCGTACTTAGCATGATCAAGTTTGCCACTCTTAAGAATAAGGAATGGCTACTAATTGATAAATTGCTACACTTAATTTTGCAATACACATATTTAGATGGCAGCATCCTATGTGCTCTGATATAGGGATGTGTGGTTAATTAGCTTAAGAACTGTTACTTGTGTGTGCGTATATTACAACAAAATGCGGATGATGGAATTTTGAGGGACATGATCAACATCATCTCTTGATGCATATGTATGCTTCCCTGGTGAATGGGAATGAGTCATATAAGTTACTAAGTGAGAGCGTAAGCTGCATTCTTGTTAGTAACCCTCCATTTCCTTATTTCTTATCTCCATATGTGCTGTGAGGTGCATGCATATGTATATGTATTTTTGAGCTCATCTTTGAGTGTTATTAAATTAGCAAATAGAAGAGGATCTGTTAGAGGATCTGGTACTTCTTAAAATTTCTAGTTAATGCATAATGTGACAACCTTCCCATGAAATCAGGTCTTTTCTGAGACTGACATAGTGACAATAGTTAAATTCTTTTTGAGAAGTAAAATAGATTTATTTTTAATTTCATTGCCTACTTAAAAAATCTTCCTGCTAATTCAATACCGTATCAATCCATTGTATAGGTACGGGAGCTTGTCCTTTCACGGGATCTTAACCTCATCATTGAACCTGGGAGATCACTCATAGCAAACACTTGTTGCTTAGTTAACAGGGTGACGGGGGTCAAAACTAATGGATCTAAAAATTTTATTGTGATTGATGGAAGTATGGCTGAACTTATCCGTCCTAGTCTGTATGATGCTTACCAGGTAATTATTCAAGTCCTCTTATGACTTATGACCAAACACATTGATTCTGATGTGGGTGTGTAATCTGTAGCTTGTTTCTCATTAGATGTTCTGGTGCAATGGCTCCTCCTCCTCATGAAGGCTGGTTAAATACTGTTGGCCCTCTGGATGCATGTACTTTTAGCTTGGATGGAATGCCACAATAGATTTCACATTGATTCTTCAAATCCCTGTATCCTGAACTCCCGCTTTATGGGGGCATATTAAGGGAAAGGAAGACAGAAAAAATTCTTGTATTCTATTTATTGCTCCTAAAGACGGCATTCTAAAGCAAATGATGGAATGCGCTATAGCTTTTCGCCCAAGACTAGGAAGTTCGATCAAGAGGTCGCAAACTGCCCTTGGCGGTGGGCCCCAGCTATTACTCGTGATGGCCATCTTCTGCCATCCTGTCTTTTATTTTCATACATGTTTTCTTCTTCCTTTTTTTGTAAATGTGGAATTGATTTTTCCTTTAAATACCACTCTGGAATTGATTTTTCATTGTTTAATTGCAGCATATAGAACTGGTTTCCCCTGCACCAGAAGATGCTGAGAATGCAACTTTTGATGTGGTTGGCCCTGTTTGTGAGTCTGCAGATTTCTTAGGAAAAAAAAGAGTACTTCCAACGCCAGCCAAGGTAATGTAATGAATTGACCTCACAATTAATTAGTTAAGCAAAATAGTGTTGCCCAACCGGGACGTTATGGTCATCGTACTTCATGCCAACATAATTCATCTGTATAAATTGCTTTCATTTTGTAGGGTGCCGGTTTAGTTGTTCATGATGCTGGTGCTTACTGCATGAGCATGGCATCAACCTACAATCTTAAGATGCGGCCTCCTGAGTACTGGGTATGGTTCTGTTTTACGTGTAAATTATATTTATAATTATAAAACATATTTCGGGTCAATATAATCTTTGGTCCCTCAAGTTTCAAACCATAGGTCTTGGTCTCTCTTAAGAGTAAAATGATCCAAGTTTTTATTGGATTATAGGGACTAAAATTTTAAATGAAAAGAAATTTGAGGAACCAAAACCTATGGTTTGAAACTTGAGAGATCAAAACCAAAATGAGGACAAATTTGAAAGATCAAAGTTTGTATTAACTCATATATTTCAAATAAAACTATAATACTACCTCCGATCCCTAATATAAGAGCTAGTTGAGAGTTAAATTTGATTCTAAATATGAAATTTCAATTCATTTTGTCATGTGAACTTGTCATTTTTTTTACCCGCAAACTATCCCTCTTGAATGTGTGTGTTAACGGAGTTTGCATCAAGGGCTAATTTCAATACAAATAATGAGGATATTTTAGAAAACCAATGTAAATGATGAGGGTATTTTAGAAAACCAACACGTATTTAACTAATTTTCTTTTTTTTTTTTCAGATTATTTAAGCAAATCTCATATGCTATCTTCGGTTATTAATAAGAACTAGCTGAGGGGTCGGATTTGATCTTAAATATAAGATTTCAATTCATTTTGTCCCCTATCTTTTTCCAAAATATCCCTATTAATTATAAGGGATTTCTACAAGGGATAATTCCAATTATCCAGTGCCAATGATTGAAGTTGATAGTTTAGGAAGACCAACACACATTTATAACAAATAACCAATTTTAACTAATTTCCTTAATATCTTCAAATTAGTTATATACTATCTTCAGTCCTAGTTAAAAGACTTTGTTTGTAGTTTACAAACAATGTCTTATGATTAAGATCAGAGGTAGTAGTTTTTATGTTAAGGACTGGAAGTTGTATTAAGGACCCGAGGTAGTATCTAGTATTCCTTGGGCTACTAATGTTACTGAGGAAGTGAACATTAGATGAACTCTTGACTTGTCTCCAATGTTGTTAGCGTTATAATTAAAAGCACTGATTTTTGAGGTTTTAAGCTCTAAAGATTACATCTTTGTAACCCTCATAGATAATTTGTTTCCTGTGGTTAATATGCTATTTGGAAAATATTTTAGGTTGACGATGATGGAACAGTGGCCAAAATCAGACATGGAGAGACATTTGAGGATCATTTGCGGTTTTTTGAGGGCCTTTGAGTGGAGACTTCATTTTTTGGTGGATTAGAAGGCTTGAGTTTCCATTTGTGATGTTAAAAGGTATGGATCTCTCCATACCATTTGATAACAAATGTATTTTGAGATAGTTTCTTCTGTTATGTCCAAATCTAATAATACTCTTGATGGTAGAAGTAGATTGGTCCTACGTGGCTCTCGCTTTTTGTCCTCTACTTATCTAGTGGTAAGAACCTGGTATTTAGCAGAGGTTCACAGACATGTTTTCCATGATGTTGTCATAAAAATCTTTAAGGCCTTATAGTCCTAAACCCTAAAATTATCTGTTGGCAACTATTTTCATTCTTGGTACCGCATTTTAATTTCCCCCAAAAAAAAAAAAAACCTAAGCCCTGGAATGTGGGGTCCAATATGTGGTTGTGTTTTGGATGACTTCCAGTTAATTGATGCTTTTCAAGGAATAATGGATTTTTTTATTCAAATTAATTAAATAGTTACTGTCCCAAAAAATAAATCAGCTACATGGTTTCCAATTGTATGGCATAACGTGGCCGTGTAGTACTTACGCGAATTGCCTTTGAATTTTCCTAATAGATGCGTGCATTAGTCTGATTAGGCAAATGCGTATAAAGTATAGGACATCTAAGGAAAAAAGAAAAACGTGATTGTATATATATTACTCCTTCGGTTTTTAATATAGGATCTAATTATTGAGTAGGTTTTAATTCTAAATATAAGATTTTTTTTTTATATTTATCAATTTTTTTTAAATTGTCTTTATAAATACTTTTTCAATCATAATCAAATAGAAGAGGGGAAGGGAGTATTAAGAAAGATGATTATGGTGTTTTAAAAAAAATGTGTCACATTTTTTATAATTAACTAATTTATTTAATTTTCAGAATCTAATCAAATTAATTAAATAGGTTTTATATTAAGGGTCGAAGGAGTATATTATTATGATGTGATTAATTTTTGACTTGCATATTTTTTGTAGACTGAAAAAGCTTGTATTAATAAATGTGTGTAATTGGCAATAGCTTATCTTTGACATTCTTTATGTCACCTTGGCAATTTCCGTGAGATAATTGCCAAACCCGATTATTAGTGCAATAACTTTTATAAAGTTTTCATCCAACATCACTTTTACATTTTAAATATCAACTTTTGAAAAGCAATACTAGTCAAGGCCGCCGAGAATTGAGTTCCTTGTAACTTTGTTGTTAAATTGGAAATCGGAAAAAAAAAAACCTAGATAATTTTGTTCTTAAAAAATGAATTAATCACTAATAAATGCACGATCATGTCCAAAGTTAAATTTGAAATCAAAATCAACTTTTTGGTCCTATAATATAATTGAAAATGCATTTGGTCTTAAATTGATCTCTAAAGGTATGTCTTTCATTTTTTGGGAGGCCATAAATTTGAGTAGAATTTTATTGTTTGGTCCCCATGGGTTATAATTCAAGAATGAATTTTAACTTATATGACTCAGTTCTTCTAGTTTTGATTAGATTGAGACTCAATACTTGAATTTTAATTCAATACAATTCGTTCCTTATAATTTTACTCATGTAAAATATTAATCCTTGAGTTTTTAAAAATAATTTTAGTGCTTATAATTTTATTTTCTAAAATGCAGGAATTAACTAAGTTATGTTGAATTAAAGTGTAGAAACTGAGTTCATAAAAAAAATGTAGAAATTGAGTTTTAACTAAATCAAAATTATAAAGACTGAGTTACACTAAATAAAAAAATTAGAAATTAAGTTTTGATTAAATCAAAACTATAAGAATTAAGTTGCGCCAAATTAATATTCATATATAGTCATGTCAAACCTATAAGGACCAAATAATTATTTTTTTTATTAGTTTATTTATCGAAAACATTTTTCTTTTCCATATCCCTTGCTTTTTGAAAGGAGATGTAATTTAATTTATTTATTGAAAACACTTTTTGCTCCTCCATATCCGTTTGCTTTGTGGAAGAACATATAATGATCGTAGGTGAAGTGTCCAAATCATGAGAAGCTTTCAATGAATGTGAGAGAGAGAGAGAGAGATGAATTGAAGTTCAATGAACAACACAACATGAAATCAAACAGGGAAATAATACAGATCACCATTTTGTCCCCATCCAAACAGGCATATCCCTCTTGCTGTGTCTTCAACCCTCCCAACAAAGCTATGACTTTAAGTAATTCCATTCCTTCCCACTTATATATATATATATATATATATATATACATATATATATATATTACCTCCGGTCCTTAATATAAGACCCTGTTTGACTTTTTGTTTGGTCCTAATTATAAGACCCCAATCCATTTTATCTCTCATATTTATGTATTTTTTCCCAAGATAGTCCTTATAATAATGATAGTTCTAGCCAATACACTTAATTAGTAAGGATATTTTAGGAATGACAACACTTATTTGTTACAAATAACTAACTTAACTTACTTCCTTAATCTCCTCAAATAAGTCAACTGGGTCTTATAATTAGGAACGGAGGTAGTATTTATATTCCCCCTTACTTCCCCTTGTTCTAGAATCCATATTTCTATCTGCCGTTGCTTTCACTGAACTCAATCCATTCCCAACAATATCTGTTCATCCCATGATCAAATTAGTCAAAACCACATGCTTCAATTTAGTCTCACTTCAATTCTACTTCTTACCTAATTATATCTTATTTTCAACGAAACAATGTCTACTGTTTTCCCCCTTTTTTAATTGAATGCATGACCCGCTCCTAAAAAAAGAAGTTACTAATTATACATGTTTAAGAGAGTTTTTTTTTAATTAAAATTCTGACTTCCTCATCAAAAGATTTTTCATCTCTTATTTTTGTGGAAGATCTTAACTTGGATAATGAATTATTGCTCCTCACAAAATTTGCCAAAATGGTACGAAAATACATGTAAAGTTTCCAATAGTCAGGATATTTTTGTATTATTTTGAAAACTTCATTTGTATTTTAGCATAATCTTCTTAACTTATATATTTTTTAAATGGTTAACATTAATTGAGTTAACAACTATTGCATTTTCATACCATTTTAAAAACTTCATATGCTCCTCTAATCCTATTTATAAGTCAGTTCTAACATGTTTTATACATATCAAGAAAAACATTAAATTTCATTAACTTTCATTTAAAATTTAACAACTTTCCAATTTCATCCCTATTTAATATATATTATACCTCATATAAACAAAGTCAACACAATAATAAATAAAGAATAAAATTATACATCAATACAAAAAAAAATTTCAGTGCTCTATAAATAGGACAAAAAAAATTTTCTTTTCTTTCTACCTTATAAATAAGACCAGAGGAATATACTTTAAGAAAAGCTTATGATATTAAATTTCCATGACAAAATATTTTATGGATAAATTTGCAACTCAAGCCATGTATAAAAGCACATATCTTAGCAGAGATTGGAATTGATACTTTTATATATGATGTTAAAGGATAATACTTACATCGAGTTTTTTATATTTTTTATGTCAATTTTTTTAATTATAGATCATCATATGTCTTTTTTCATATTAATTTATAATTAAATACTAATATTTTAAAAATAAAACTGGAGGTAATAAACATAAACGTAAGTAGCTTTGTTTTATATCAAAAATATCCTAAGAAAATGGGTGATGTGGGTGGTGCAATCCGCCTTCGGTTGCTGAGTGCAAAAGCTGAGTCTGAGTAGAGTATGTGGTCCAATCAGATGCTCACAGCACACAACCTCCCTGCCTCCTTTCGCACATTACTTTGTCGCAGCGGCACGCTCTCCACGCGCCCGATAACTGCGTCTGGGAAAGACTGTGGAGATGAACAGAAAAACATGACATTATCGGCGAAAAAACAAAGGTAAGTGGGAGCAGATTTTGTTGAACGCTAAACATAGGGAATTCAGTGGGCAGCACGTGCCACTACGCCCAAGTGACTGACACGTGTTGCACTTTATCTCTAGGTGTGAGTCCCACTAGGAAAGGGAGGAAACTATAGAGTGCGGGACCCCCCACGGTAACAGTAAAATGTCACTGACCATGCGGGTTGACCAATTGCCCCCACTTTAAATGGATCGTACGTTAGCACAACTCGGACTAGCCGTAAAAAGGAAAGTGAAGTTTGCGCACCGAGATAAACCGACTATTTTTTTAAACCATTGCTCCTTGGCCATATTTATATTATTTACAAAGCAGAAAAAAAGTTTAGTCTTAGAGTAGAGAGAGGAATTTTTGATATAAATATAAAATTTTACCTTTTATTTATTATTATATTAATTTTATTTTTATGAGATATAATATATATTAAATATTGATAAAATTGAAAGTTATTGAATTTTAAATGAGAGTTAATGAGGTTTAAAGTTTTTTTGATCTTAGTGAAATATGTTGAAAATAACTTATAAATAAAATCAGAGGAGAATATATTAATTAATTCCAGCTATCAAAATTTGATTCATTTATCTACACTCTAGAGTTTTTTTTAGGGAGAACTATAATGAAATTCTAAGTAAGAAAAATAATTTTTAAAAAATCTCAATAACAACTTAAACAACCTGTAATGATAAGATTCAAACAAAAAATAACAACAGGGACTTATTTTGTAATTAATTTTTTTATTGGGATCTCATTGTAATTTTTTTCCCCCCAGAGTCCGCTCTATAGTTAGAACAAATAATATTCCCCAATTAGGATTAAGAGATTATTCATGAACAATTAATTGTTTCATTTTAAAAATGTATATAGGTAATTTCTAATCTGTAATATTTATTAAGGTTAGGATAAAAATCAAAGTAATATCTAGACAATTTTATCAACGCAACTAGCTTTTCTTAATTACAGGCAAGTAATTGAGAATAACTTATATTAGGAACATGAGAAAGTACTAGGCAAAACTTTCTAATTTTGAGTTCTAGAAAGTAAAAATGGAAGTTTGGATAACAATAATTGAAATTTTACATAGTGATCAACATTATATTTATTTGAAATTAATTATTTAATTTTACCAGATCTTGAGTTGCATTCTCCCTGAAATAAATTTAATAACAAGTTATACCTAAAGAAGATATGACTAGTGTTGCCTATCACTGTGTAATTTAAAAATTCTATAAGTTATCAATGGGAACACGTTAATGTTAATATAATCATCAATATTAATATGAAATAAATAATCTATGAAAAATAAGGATTTATAAATTATAAACAGTACAGTTGAATTGAAAAAAACCTGTAGGTTTAGAAAATACCTAAATCTACCTACCAAAACCTGATAACAGCATGAACTAAATCTACAACTAGAAAATAACAGTACAAAACTAACCTAAATCTATTGAACTGAAATA